AATATAACATAGAATTTCTTTGATATCATATTTTAATTATTTTATTTTGATTCTCTTATTCATTTAAATGTATATAATTAACAAATACATTAAAATAATTTCAATATAAAATGACAATGTTGATTTTATATTATTTAAAAAATACAATTTTAATTTTAAACTTATTTTAGTTTTGCAAATATTCTTTTGTATATATGTTATCTGAAAATTTAAGAACACGTAGTACAAAAATTTAAAATGTCAATCTAAAAATTTCAAATGTTATAACAATGCTTACATACAACAAAGAATAATGATTATCTGAACAATAAATAATAAGTCCAACTACTAACATACTTAATAATTCTCACGTCGGAATGAACACATGAGGCAGTTATTTAACATAGTAAACAAGAATAATTACGCGAGGATAACCATCTTATCAAGCAATTCTATTTCTGAATTAAATAGATAATTAAGTCATGTAAAAAACAATATCTTTTAAAATACAAATTTTTCATTGAAATAAACAATTCTATTTTTCCATAATTTTGTATAATTTATTCTGCTACTAATTTTGATTTTTATATTAATAATTAAGAATTAGTTATAAAAGATAACAATTTTAATCTTTTTATAGTTTGACAAATAAGTCAAATTATAAAAACAAAATGCATATACTATCATATTAAACAAATTTTACAAAAAGAGAACAGCACATGATTGAAATTTACAAGATAATAATATTGAAAAAATGTAAAATGTAATAAATCAAACAAGCATTATTTTAGAATAATAGAATAAAATATGACTGATTGGTAGCTTTTATTTTTTTTCTTCTTATGAATTTCTGTTATGGAACAAAGCACTATGATTTATGATTATATTATCCAGTTATCTTAAGATTTGTTTTTGTTTTTCATTCTTATTTTAATCTCACAGTAGAATAATATCTTTCTACTAAAAAGAAATTCTCTATATTATACTTAGGACCCGAGAATTAAACCTGGATCTTTTTTGATAGGTGCTTGATAGACTGCTCTATTATTAAGCTATCCAACGCCCCAGTATACCGGAATACTGAAGGGGTAAATCGTGCTCTGATGCGGCGCGACTCTTGAAAACAGGGTGAAGAACGTAGGAATCGAATACACCGGCTGTTCACCCTTCCGCATGCTTTTCGGACCTCGTGCAACGAGATTAAACGGCCCTTCTGTACACCACGGCGTGGCACGTTACTTACGCAACGTTATGTGCGCGCCGTTGAAGGGGAGAAAGAGGGAGAACGGGCGAGATAGAGAAGCGAAATGGTGACTGAAACGGAGGGACAGAGGAAGAGACAGAGACGCGCGAGTTACATAGAGAAACGATAAAACGAATATGAGAGACGAGGCTCGAGAAAAATATAGAAAGAGAAAAGGAAAGACTTCACGCATACACACACGTAGAAGACACACCGTGGCCGAAGGATCTACAAAGTACAACGCGTGGGACAAACAGAAGTGCGTTCAACAAAGAGGCTCGCCGAAATCATTATGTCTTTTCTTTTTTAACATCGTGATTTTCCTTCATTCATATTATCTTCCAAACTGCCTTTTAAACGTAACTTAAAAATAACTTTGAATGCAAGTTTAGTTGTTCAGCAAAGTCAAAGTGTTCAAGTATACACGTATTCAATTCCTTTTTTGTCATAACAGTGACGGTCGACGATCTGAGAATATATATCGAAGGTTAACAAGAATCATTTTTTTTAGAATGGATGTACTCCTTTTTTATTTCCCTTTCTCAATTTCAATACTTTTAATTTAAACTTTAATAAACTGTTTAAATTAATTCGTACAAATATTATTAATTTTTTTGAAACTCATCAATATCAACGAATGTATCTACGATTTTTAAGTTATAAATAATAGAAAATAAAAAGTTTTTAATGTAATAAGTATTATTTAAATTAAGAATTAAACTTTTTAAAATTTTTAATTAAAGTTTAATTAATTACTTCTTAAATTAGCGTAATTAAGTGTTGCACAGAATATAAAATATATAGTATCGAAAAAGGCAATGAATGAGTTTACGACTTAAAGTAAGTAAAAGTAATAGAATAAATTGTTTTCGTACAAGGTCTCGTTTTCGAAAAAAAAAACTTTGAAAGTTAATCAAATACATATGCACTTGATTTATATTTAACGTAATAGTATGTAACGTGATAACAAACGTACTGTATAGTTTTTTTGCTGGTTATATAAAGTTGTATTCTATGAATTTAATTAGAATA